CAGCACCTTGTGAATATATTTCTGTGAAAGGCGCTTTATAAATAAAACTTWACTTACTTACTTATTTAAATAGTTGAATAAAGCAAAAAGTATCTGTAAGAAGTATAAATAGCACAAAGTAGCAGAAAAAAGTACAAAAAACAGAAAAAATCAGAAGAATATCATAAAGAAGCAGAATTTTAGCTGAAGTAGCAGAAAAAAGCTAAAATTTGCAAATAAGTAGCTAAAATTTGCACAAGAAAGTGAAAAATAACCGAACCAGAACAACATGTGAAAGGTTCTGTTTAGATTTCAAAACATTTCGAAGCATTTTAAGGATGTTGAAAACAGCTGAAAAAGTATAAATAGCTGAATTACTAAAAGTTATAGTAGATTTGTCATAAATGAGCTGAACGTTTTSATTTATGAATTGTTGATATAGCACAAAAATTGTGAGTTTGATGCCGAAAAACRTACGGAAGAAAAAAATGATCTCAATGATGTGAATGCTGTGAATCATTTACATAATAAAACATAAAGCTGGAAAAGTATCTGTTGTATGTAGTATTTAGTATCTGCAACCCGTGAAACCATCAGAAGAACCGGGTCTCGGTCCCTCCACCATCTGAGCCGAAGCAGACTCAGAGGTGGTGAGTTCTGTTCTCTTATAGCTGCTGACAGGTTGTTTGTCCTGAACATCCCTCACCTTTTTTTTTTACCTTCCCTCCATCTTTCTCTGTCTATTAGCGCTGACAGCCCGCCTGCACCGAGCGCACACCGTCTCTTTTCCCAGCTGCTTCATTTCATACACACATTTCCCCCCCAACAAAACCCACCATTTTCATTCTGCCTTAAATTTTCCTTCTATTGATTCGTCTGTCACACTCGCACTCCTGCTCTGAGAGTCCACAGAGGAGAAACAGCCCATCGCTCCAGAGGAACCCATGAGAAACTGATTCATGACATTTGTAAATCAAAGGCCTGATTATAAAAACACCTGAAGGAAGCTGGACTGGAAACAAAGAT